GTCTAACTTTCTGGAAGTGCTTAAAAACACGCAAAAATCATTGCTGTTGGAATCACTTATCTTTTACCTAGTATAGTTAGTTTCTATTAACAAGTTTTCAAAGAAATGAGACTCGCAAGAAAAAAAAATGAACTACGCATGGTGATCTGCGACCAAGACTACCGAGACGCCATTAATTTCTATCATGAAACCGCTGACCATATGTTGTTTACAATATAATATGTCTTTAATTCCCCTCCCCCCTCCTTTGGATTTCCGAAATTTTGCTCTTGAATGTTTTGTAGGTAAAACAGAACATTTCAATGACAGCTTTAAGGATTCCTACACATCAGTTGGTAAAATTGGCATGGCTTTCTATATTGGACTATGGGCTTATGATGGATGGTAAGTAAAGAGTCTGATATCATGCTAGTTACTGTGTTAGATCAAGTCATTCCAGACTAATTTGTTTTTCTTATTGCTTAAAGGAACAACTTAAACTACTGTACTGAGGAAATGAAGCGCCCAGAAAAGTAAGTTTATTAAACAGTTAGAGCGGATTTCGTATGAGTGGGAAACGAACGGTACTGTACTGTGACCGTAATCGTACCRTAACCAAATTCTAGTTCCCCATTGGTTCACCAAAATTGTGAAGGCCAGGTCCGGTAACTGTGCGGTAACCGTGCAGTAACCGTGCGGTAACCGTGTCCCACTCATACGAAATCCGCTCTATTACAGTCAAATCTCTACTTACGGATACTCCCGTAAGCAGACAGTGCTACTTACGGACAGCTTTTCAAATTAAAGTTGCGTTTCCTTCTTTGCCTTTGCATAGATGTACTTCACTCGGACAAGTGACATAGCAGTATTATTACATCCTTTACACCAATGATATGTACACTTATACTGTTTTCTTGTCTTCAGAGATATGCCACGGGCTATTGTAATCGGCATTACATTGATTACAATCTGCTATATTCTTATCAATGTATCTTATATCGCTGTACTTGGAAAATCTGGTATCCTGGCATCTGAAGCTGTTGCCATTGTAAGTGTTGATTGGTTGGTTTGCTGATTGGCCAACTAGTTATTTCCTAAACTCCAGTACGCATTGTTTGTTTGCTTGATTGAATTTCTGTTTTATTGGTTATAATAATTAGATGATTCATTGATTAATTGATTGATTAGATGATTGATAAGGCTGGTTGATTGTATATTTGGTTGATTGAATAATTGATTGTATGGTAAATAGATTTACTGGTTTACTTATTTGATTTTAGTGATTGATTGATGTATGATTGGTTGATTGATTGATTTTTGCCATTCATGGAATGATGTCAGTGATTGATTGATTGATTGATGTATGATTGATTGATTGATTGATATTTGCAATTCATGGAATGATGTCAGTGATTGACTGACTGATGTATGATTGGTTGATTGATTTTGATTTCTCAGTTCAGTAGTTTGTTAGTTTATTGATAAATTGGTTGATTGATAAATCCATTTAGTGATTAAGTAACAATGCGCGCAAAAAGCAGGCAACTTTCTATTGTTCKSCRRCRATTRCAACTTCCCSACAYACGAATGTCTTGGTTTTCACACTGATTATATATCAACCTATGGGTAACAGATTTTTAAAATAAAATGTGAATAAACTCTGTTTTGAAACAAACTTTCTTTTGTATTAAAAGATCTTGTCCAATCATAAGCACTCAAAACAATAGCCAAAAAATGCTTCTAATTTGCTATGTTCCCCACATAGAATTACTATTAATATCAAAGCTAAGGAAAGCTTTTATGAAGTCGAAATCAGATATTAAATAAAATATTAAAAAATGCGCTTACTTTTGAAATTATGTCMRATTTTWATGTTTTAACCAATGAGATGGATGGATTATACAATACAAAATTAGCACCTTCATGCATTCCATTGCCGTTTGCTTGCCTGCTTCTTACTCGGACCATTACTTAATTGAATRATAACTTCATTCTTTATTTGACTGGTTTCTTTATATTGTGTTTCTTGTAGAGTGTTGGCAATCTTTACCTTGGACCAGTGGACTGGATTATCCCAGTATTTGTTGCTGCCTCAACATTTGGTGCTGTAAATGGCCTGGTACTCACGAATGGAAGGTTAGTAACCATTTGCTGTGTGTCTTTTATCAACTCAAAATGTTGGTTGTTATGTACATTAATTTGAGGATTTTTATTAATTTTTTTTCAGACTGTTGTATGTTGCTGCTCGTGATGGTCTGATGCCATCACTACTCGCCATGATTCACACCAAGCGATTTACTCCTCTGCCTTCATTGCTTTTCACTGTAAGTGGCATGATCCAGAGGGGGTGTACTCCTATATAGTTGGGCAGGGATGATTGTCATCTTTTGGGTGTGAAAGTCTTCTAAGCTGGTTTCTTGAAGGGTATCTGTAAATATCCCAAATGGACGGCTGACTTCCAGTGTAACTGTATGAAACCTTTCTTTTTCAGACTCTGATTTCCATCCTCATGTTGATTCCTGAGACGAGCAGCTTTGAGACTCTGATTGATTTCTTCAGCTTTGCTGCCTGGTTGTTCTATGGCGGTACATTTGCATCTTGTTTGTGGCTTAGGTACAAGCAACCCGATAAGCGCCGGCCATATAAGGTACAAAAAAGAAAACTGCACAAACAATGCTATAATATTATATTACGTAAAAGCATATTTCCCAGACCTCGACAAAAAATGTTCAGTCCAGCACAGTAAAATCTAGATGGCTTAATTGTTAATTGATGGTTAATTTTCACCTGTCTTTTTGTTTTCAGGTTTGGTTGATTGTACCGATTGGCATGACTATTGCATCTGTTTTTCTCATGGTTGCACCAATTTTTACCAATCCATGGGGCTCACTGATTGCTTTGGTTGTAATTGCTGCTGGTCTACCTTTCTACTATCTGTTTGTTGTATCCAACTTAGTTCCTAAATGTTTCACAAATGCTATGGGTAAGTACAGTCACTTGCACAAAAAAGTGACCTTAAGCATAACTCTGCTCTCCTGTGGACCCATGTCAGTTTTCTAACAAAAAGTAACGGGCACTGTGTCTGCAGGGAAAGCAGGAAAACCCAGGACGTTGTTATTATGATATTCATTAACTCTATTACGACAAATAATGAAGTGAAGATGATATAGGACTGCCGAAAATAGAGTGTAAGCAATAACAGCATCGAAAGTATTAGGTAATAAATAGTCAATTCATAAGAATTTACTGGTTTGTTTTTCAGATTCCTTCACAATATGGAACCAAAAAGTATTTGACTTAGCCATGACAGACCCTGAAGAAGTCCCTGTACCCTTTTAATGCAAAATCCAACCTTTTTAACACATCATATAGGTAACTTAATGCAGTTGTGTATTGAGAAGTCACCATAAGTTTAAACTTTCATAGTCTGTTAGGCTGCCATCTTAGTTTTGCCTGAAGGGTGATGTCTTAACAAGTTACAGCTTTGTAGGGATGCTGCGCAAGTGTACCAGTGTCATCAATAAGTCATTTAAACCGTGATAGCATTATACGGGACATACAACTATTTTAAGTTAGCGTTAAGGCTGATTTACACGGCACGATTGTCTCGTGCGATTTGTAGTATACGACTTGAATCGCGCCTTGTAAATGCCCCTACGACTTGTAGTAGGATTTTGAACCACGGCTTAAAATCCTACGACTTGTAGAAGGAAAATCGTATACTACAAGTCGCGTCGCGCCTTTAAATTGCAGGGTTAATGGCTGTGCAGTTTTATTGCCCTATGCAAAGGTGAATGACAATGTAAGCATCTTAAACACTTCAAACATTGAAAGGACTTGTTTTGTAGATAAAGGAGTGAGGTCATTAATCTAGTTAAGTAGACAGAAATAGTTACACTGTCTAATCCACAAAGTTTCTTTTTTCTGTATCCCACTTTTAAATAGTCCAATTTTATTCCACTGGTTTTATGACCTCACTTCATGGTCATCATGTATGAATAATAAGGCGGTTTCTATAAACCCACGAGACAAAGTTTACCAGTCAAAGTGAAATGACACACCAAAGAGATAGAGTCGTAAAGTCGTTTTCATTTGACCATGTAATCAAGATAACTATTAATTAGTTTGTACTTGTTGGTAAAGACCAAAAGGAAATATTAGATTCAGAGTGTGATGCCAACTAGAAGTCTCACTAATCTTTCACAGTCAAATGAAAACGACTCTAAAACATTTACTCCCAATAAAGTAATAAAGTGTAGAATGCCTAAGTGAATTACACGAGTTTCTGAAAACTATTCTTTTTAAGACAAAAGGTATTTATAGGTTTAAGAAAATTTATTATATTTATTAAGAAAATTTCAGTGGTGATGTGTTATTAATTTAATTTTGTAAATTGTGAAAGTCTTTAGCTCAATATCTACGGTCTGTTAAAATTGTACAACGTTGTTCTTTATTGTTGGCACTGATGAAATATTGTTTMATGGATTTAGTGAGCGCTTAGCCCTCACACTGAATTCAATTATTTTGTGAAATTCCTTATGTCATTAGTGTGAACAAGCTGTGAAATCAACAAATTATTAGTTTCGTCATCGATAGTTGCAATTCTTATATTTTAATGTGGAGTCATCAAACCCGTGAAACAAAATATAACTGTTAGAGTGTGATAAGTAAATAGCAATACAATAGCCACTTTAGCGGTTAAAACAGGTTGCGCGGGGATTTTGCGTTTCAGACAGTCTGGCAGAGGCAGAATCGGGCAACAGCAAAAAAATAGCCGTTTTGAGCTTGTTTTCTTTTCCATATTTTGAAAATATTTTTTGTTAGCAAAAACAAACGTGATTCTGACGTGACTACACTCTTGTTCATATGTAAGCTGCAGGAAACATGTTGCTTGATTTTGCCTTTCTCGTTTTAACTGCGAAAAGAGGCATTAAAGCGTAATGGTTATAGAGTACAACCACTAAAACTGTGCAACATAAATATCACTAAATACTACTAAATTATGCTAATTCTATTGTTTTCTATTGTTTAATTAAAAGTGCACACATTAATTAAAGTGCACACATTTAACGTTTGTACTCTATCTAAGAATTCCATGGGTCTGATCTACTGACTCTATAAAAACCACTATTAAAAACAAGTACAACGTTTTGTACAAATAATAGCATGCATTTCGTGTCTGCTTTTAAGCGCATTCACTATATATATGATATATTTTAAGTYATATAAAACTATTCTTGGCATGTTTTAATACTGGTGTAAAAAGCAAGGTATAATTTACTAAAGTATAGTTAACAAGAAACATTCTGTGGCTCATTGTATTCATTTATTGTAAGTGAACGCATTTATTTTAGAGTTCAAACACTAATAGCTTCCAGGGGCGGATCTAGGATCTAGGATTTTTTTTTAGGGGGGTGACTTTTGATTTTTTAAGAGTTAAAATATTTAATTTTCCCGCCAAACGTACCAAAGCTCCGCGAATGCATGTGTTCTTAGATGCCCGAGACGCTAAAAAGTGTTTAATAGTCCTTTTGAAAAGTGTTGTTTATCGAAATATCAACCAATTATTTCCCTATTTCCTTGATATGAATATTTTTATATTCAATTTATCCAGGAAAAAGGGGTGAACGTTCACCCAGTTCACCCCCACTGTATCCGCCCCTGGCTTCAAAAAGCACTAATCGTCATAATGGATGCGATTCAGTTTTAATGTGAAGTCAATCAACACGTGAAGCAAAATATAACTGTTAGAGTGTGACTTTTCGATAGACCATATAAAATGGAATTGTAATTATCCAGTTTTGAAGGCATGAATCAGGATTTCAGTCGACTTGAGAGAGAGAGATATTTTCTGATTCTGGCAATATTTCTTCGGTGGAAGAAGGCAACAGGACAACAACAAAAAAATGTAGTAATAATGTTGTGCCTGAGGCAGCAAAGTCCGATGCCCAAACCACTGGGCTATAGAAGAATGGAGATTTTCTATGAGGAAACATACGCAGAAACAATGTATACGAAAGTTTCACGGATTTAGTGCGTTCGCTGTATTTGATTTAAACTCCTCCTCTTTCTTCTCTCGCCCCCCAGTCTCCCCGCCTCTCACCAAAGGAAGCCCAACCGGTCATTTCCTAAATGCTCATCCAACCCGTATTAGAGAAAAGACAGCTTGGGAATGTACAATGCATGAACACGCGACCAGCATATGCTCTTGCGCAAAAACCGCATGGAACGACATTAAGACAGACACGTTGCTTTACAAGTAGATTTATTCACAATGATATTAAAGACTGACATATTACAATGAATTCCAACATGAGTTTAGTTCACACTTAATTTACACAATTTGACTACGACTGGATTGAGTTTGCAAATCGGAGCTAGGGCAGAGTCTTTCCTGGATGACGCTTTCTTATTTCCATATACTCCTAGTTTCCGACGTTAATTGATCATATCACGCGCAAAAATGTTCTGTTTGGTTATTCACTGGAGCATAATTTTCCAACTGAAACTTGAATAAATGCTCCAGAATTGAAGCAGCTTAAAAACTCAAATTCACTGATTTTTAGGCTTTTTGTGTGCACTACAACTTGTTCGACCAAATAGCGGAGAATTAAATGGTACGCGCGTCAACCCAAACAGCGGCGGGAAAAATCTTACATCTCCACAGGAAGTCCGACACGCTGTAACATCATCAGGGTTTTGACTCGTTTTAGCAATGAAAACAATCTCTCAAATCGGGGTTGACCACATGATGGATAATGCACACCTGGGGCCCGTTGTTGTACTAATGGTACTCCATAGATTTTGTTTGGACTTTATCTGCTGGATAGCACTATTGAGTACCTTCTTACAACAGACCTCTGATGCTTTATTCATCATTGTTGTAAGAATGACACGAAAACGATTGACTAT